TATATATATATATATATATATATATATATATAATAATATGTGTGTGTGTGTGTGTGTGTGTGTGTGTGTGTGTGTGTGTGTGTGTGTGTGTGTGTATAATAACATATTTGTAATATAAAATGTACTTATATTTAATAGAACATTGATTTTTGCTAAAGTGATATATCAGATTTAAATCGAAAACTTTAATAAAATTAAAACTAAATTTCTTGTATCTAATATTGAGTAAGAATAATTCGCTCATGTTAAATATGATTGATACAAGTAACAGGAAAATTATGATTATCTAATGATTCTTATCTCTCTATGTAATACGTTCTAACAAATTAATTCCTGTATCCTTAGTAATAATTTCTTCCTAATATTGTAATAAATAATAGTCGACCTTGTTTTTGGTATCTTTATTGCTATAATTTGGCCATGGTTATAATTATATTTAACGATTTCATTTTACGGTTATATTAGTGTTCACAAGTGTAATTACATTTATCAAAGACCGGTTTGTAATAAATTTCAGGTAGTTAAGGTACTTTTTCATAAATAATTTTTTTGCAATATTTATATTACACATTAATATTTATATATTGTAATTGAAAAATTATCTTCTCTTTGTTTCTAAACATGTGTATTTTTTTTTTCAATTTCTCCATTTAGTACAATTATACATTTTTAATTATGATAATTCAATATATGAGGACTGTTGATACTTATTAGGAAGACATTCAAATTTCTCGCGCCTTCCTTCTCACTGAAACGTCACGTAGTTGGTGAAATGCCCTCATGGATCACGTTTGAAGGCAACAGAAGTCATCTTTGATAGTGTGTACGTGCATGTACACGCAGCGTGAGCAATACGTCATGGCAGTATTGCAGTCTAAATCTCGGTACTTTTATGGGCAGTAAAGTAAAACGATCTGACAACAACTCCGGTAGCACACACGCTTTCCATCTGTCTGTCCATCAGTGTCGTGTGCCATCAGACTGCGTTACTCATGAGAGAATTACATCTTAATGATCACATATTAGTAATCAGGAATCTTTATTTTATTTTTTTTTTCAAGAATTCACAAAGACTTTAATGCTAAAATTTCAAATTAGATAGATTTAAATATTATTAATTTGTATAATACGCATGATAATTGCAATTAAAAATAAAAATTCTCTATTAAATAATAAATGTATGTAATATTTAATAAACAGTTGAATGAATAACTTTAACAATTATTCAGTAAGATCAATTTTATTATACCGATGAAATTGTTTTAAATAAGGTTTAATTTAATATCAATAAAATAAATTAAATGTTCCAATAAAATAAATTAAATGTTCCAAATTTAAATCTATGAAGTAAAGAATACAATATTTTTTTAGATTTGAAAAAAAGGACAAGTCTTGATGTTGCGTACTTTTTTTAATATAATATCTAAATGTGTGTTTTTTTTTTTTTTAATATCTATATTCAGAAAATGCACTTAATAAATCTTGAAGCTTGTACGATATCTAGTGTACTATGATTGAATGGGATCCAATGTGGCGCGTGGACGAAACGGGGTCGATTGGTCTGTCAGCGGCGAACCAGACAATGGGACGATTTCGAGTCGCGATCGTGTCGGTACACGTGTACTAAGTAGGAAACACAACTCGCGCTTGAATACGAGTGTAATAAATCGCGCGGGAGGCGCGAGCCACCCGACGTTTGTTGTACAGACGACGCGATCATGAATGGACTTTATAGCAGCCCGCCCATTTATAGGTAGTATGCGCGCGGTTTAGTAGCTATGGGCTTAGTGCGACGCGGTTGTATACAATCCTCTGTTTACTGCAAGTACGTACCTAGGAAATGGATAGGTTTACCGCCAGATTTTCATTCGGGCTTTCGAAACTGATCATTCACTGCGTTATATAGATTAAGCTGCAGATATTGAGGGCCAAAAGAGCTTACTGCCTTGCAATTTATATTATATAAAACTCGACTTCTTTTGATGTATGCTCGTACTATCGTATCGACTGATTGCCAAGTGTCATCAGCAGTGTTCTTAACGTATCTTTAACTTATATATATTTTTTATAAGTATATTTATCTTTCTACGTAATATGTTAGTGGTAGACTATGAATGTTGTGCATTTACGCATATAAATATTCTACAACAATTGTAATATTGCTTTTTGTAATGTAAAATTTTCTATTGTTGCACGTTTTAATTGATTAAAATAATATAAATTAATATTATAAAATTTAATAACTGTGAATATAAATGCAACTAAATGAAAAAATATGTATTTTTTTATTTAAATATAATAAAATTAGCATTATAAAAAATAAAAATCATATCATAATAAAATCATATCATATATAAATCAATCATCAATATTATGTAACTCACCTTGTATACCGGGCAGTGTTCCGGGGAACACGCGGGAAAGCCTATAAAATTAAACAAATCGCAATTATAAAGTGCATGCTTCATTTATAAAATATGTTTCTTCTTGTAAAAAATACATAATAAAGTGTATTCACATAAAGTATCAATATAAAATATGTAAATAAATTATAGATAAGTTTGATATTTTTCATCAAATAAATGATTTAATATTACTTTTATTTGTAACTGTAAAAATTGTATATTAATGAATATTAATAATGGAAAGATAATTTGGAGTGACAAACCTGCTGCTCAGCTCGAACGAGTGAAACGTCTTCTCCACGGCGCCGTACACTTTGAGGCCTTTTATTTACAAGTCCAAGAGAAAAAACAACAGCCTGTAAAAAGAAGGCCGGAAACGCAAATCAAATAATCTGTTGGCTTCATAACAGGTCATGTCACCATAGGTTTTATATGACTTTTAGTAGTTTCTATCACGCCAGGTATAAAGTTCTCTACCTTGTACAACCGTTAATGTGATGTCGTTTCATAACGAAAACCTTACTTCGTTTTACCTTCAACGCTCAGAGACTCAGCTTTACTGAATCACCTCTTAAAAAAATGTTCATTGCCCATCTTATAGTAATAATCAAATAAATGATCTACTAAAAAACAATTTGATATATTTTTTAACATTTAATTGTATGAAATTCAATAATTACTCAAGAAACATAATTTATTCCATATATGTAATAACATCGATACAATTTTTAATTAAAAAAATTTTAACGCCTGAATATTATAAGCTCGAAGCAATTAAAAATGTTCATGCAAAGAAATGAAAATTATAGTTAATCATATAATTTAATCAAAATAGACAATTCAATTTGAATCTATAAATTTTTATTTATCTTAACGAGTTTGAATACTAGACTTCGTATCAAAAAAGAAATGGAAATGGTCTCTGGAATAATGCGGAATTAAATTTTTTAAAGTGAATTTATGTCGAAACTTGAAATAATAACTTAAGTTAAAGAAACGAATTTCTAATGTGAAAGAGGCAAATTTGTCTTATAATCACAAATACATATTGACTAATAAAAATAAACTTAAATTAATCAATTTTTTTATCTTAAAATTAT